ACACCTGGACGAGTTGCGATACGATTTACATTTAATTACATATTTTGTGTTCTTCTCTCATCTTTTTTTATTTTACCTTTTTATCTGATTTTCACGCACACCACCAGGGATTAATTATTTATTCTACATTGATCAAATCGTCGATTGAGATAAAGAAAAGAAACGAAAAAGAAAAGAAGGGTCCAATAAACGTAAAGTATTGTTTCGAGTATCGATATATCATTAACATTAAAATACAATAATAATACGAATAAGAGAAACAATCGATCCGACACGATCAATGTTCATTTTTGGTTTACTCGTTGAAGGGATGAAGACTCCTATTTTTTCATCTATTCGTTAAATCAAAAGTCGAATCGTTTGACTCGAATGTTGCAAACACCGATCAACAATTCTCCAGTTCTTTAAAAGTGCATGCAAAAATTCGGAGAAAACGAGGAGAAAACCTGTGTGATACGTGCACGTATGTGTGGTGTACACGCATGTGTGTTTGTCTCGTTTGTTTCAATCAGAGAAACGAATCTGTTGCATGGTACCGATTAATTAATCGATAAAAATTCTTCTTACGGAACAGAGCGTAACAGTAATCCTTTTTTTTTTTTAAACGAGGATAAGGGGTTATCGCGATAAACGTTGCAATTTTGTTCTTTTCTTATTTATTTCTTTCTTCTTCTTCTTCTTCTTCTTCTACCTAACTTCTACTTCTAGTTATTTACTTTCTTTTCGTTTTTCTTGTTTCTCTCTCTCTTTCTATCTATCACACAATGCAGTTGAATCTTCCTGTTATGTCTCTTCCGAGTGTCTGTGCGCGGAGACCGGTAATTCTGACCAAAATATAAGGCTAAAGGTAAAGGAAAAGGAAAAGGAAAAGGAAAAGGAATCGTAATTAGGTGGTTGTCGGTTACCGGGCGAGAAAAGAAGAAAGAAACTGTAGTTGTGTAAAGGTTGCTTCGAGAGGAAACGGCACACACCTTTTGAGAGGAAGAAACCTCGGACTTGCTTCTCTTCTCTTCCCTTCTCTCCCACCCTCTCTCTCTCTCTCTCTCTCTCTTTCTTTTGCACGGTGCTCCAATTAGTCGATAAGATCTTTTATACGTTGGAAAGGTAACAAAAAAGAAAAAGAAAACGGAAAAGAACAAAAATAACGAAACTTCCTCTCTTATCTTTCCTTTTTCTTTTGGAGGGTTAAAAAAAAAAAAAAAAAAAAAAAAAAAAAAAAAAAAGGAGAAAAAAATAAAAAGAAACAAGTAGGAAAAAAACAACAAAGAGAAATTCATTGGAATTCATCGGTCGGTTTGCTTCCGTTCGACTCCGACGATTCGTTCCACCTGCTTGAGATAACCACCAACCACCATCACCACCATCACCACCACCAATTCTCTCACCAATTTTTTTTCTTCGATGATAAAAAAATAAAAGTATATATATATATATATATATATATATATATATAGATATACAAACATAATAAAATAGAAGAAGGGAAGTAAAACAAACCCAACAAGAAAAAGAAACGAAGAAAATTGCGAAAGAAATTAGGGGGTGTGTGTGTACTTACGTTGAGATTCGTTGAAATGTTTTACGGTTTTTCTGAAAGAAAAAGAAACAAAGACGGAAAGTAGTAAAAAAAAAAAAAAGAAAAAAAAGGGACGATAAAAATCTTGTTTCCGTTCGAACTCGAGGATATTTGTTAGATAGTTAGGAAGTAGATAAAAGACAGGACGTGCGATCGTAGTCCGACGAACGAACGAACGAAACGATGCCCGCATATAATTTAACGCTTTTCTCGTTCGCTCGATGGATTTACCGACGCTGAAAATACGCGAAGGGTGGTAGAGGTGGTGTTGCTGCTGCTGCTGGTGGTAGTGGGGGGGTTGAAGGGTGGTAGTTGAGAGATTAAAGGGAGTGGGAAAGCGATATATAAACAGGAAAAAGGAGGAGGAAGAGAAATTTTCGGCTTGGCGTTCCGGAGGGGTGGGTTGTGGGGGGGAGGGGGTTGGAAGAGGGTGGATCCTGAAACCCGCAGCTTCTCGCCACGTAAAAGGTCCATAGAGAAATAGAGAAATAGAGAGAGAGAGAGAGAGAGAGAGAGAGAGAGAGAATCTGTGTGTGCATGTGTGTGTGAGTGGAAAAAAAAAAAAAAAAAAAAAAAAGAGTAAACTCTCCTTTTTATCTCACGACTGGTCGAAGCCACGTCGGCTTTCACGAGAACGCTGTACGGTGTTATTCCCTTTTTCTTCCACCCTGAACCTTCACCATCTCTCTCTTTCTCTCCCTTTCTCTGTCCAGCCGCTAATATTTTAACGCTAAACTATGGCCCGCATTTTCGTAACCACGAGACGCGAGAATTAAGCTTGATTTACTCTAATAACGAGAATGCATGTAAATAGTCGAACGGATTTTCTTGTTCCTTTACTTTTCTTTCGTACTTTCTTTTCTTTGCCCTTCTTCTTCTTCTTCTTCTTCTTCTTCTTCTTCTTCTTCTTCTTCTTCTTCTTCTTTTTCTTCTTCTTCTTCTTCTTCTTCTTTTTATTCTTTTTCTTCGTATTCGTTTCCTTAGACCATTACCGTGGTACACGGTACATTACTCCCAGGAGAGTATTTTTCGCAAGGACGGTAGAATTTTAAAATTTCGAAGAGAAAGATATGTATTACGTAGATACTTTATTCTTGTCTCTTGGTGTTGGCTGCTAACGACGCGCTTTCAAAAGGAAAACAATTCCAAAGTAGACACGTATACGTATAACTTACATCCTAGAGTGTGTGTGTGTGTGTGTAGGTAATGTATGAATGTATCTATGTTTGTGTATGAAAGAGTGTAAATAGTCTCCTAAATTTCATGAGTAAAATACGAGACACGTTATAATGTGTAAGAGGGAAATAAGAGTTAAAGCTTAACGCGATAACAGCCGCGTTTGTCGTAATACTGTCTGGCAAAGTCTCGCGTGTAGTAATGTATTTCGAATGATAGAAGAAGCTTCCTTGAAAACCCCACACGCACAACACCTTTATTGTACATTCAAAACGCATTAACGATTCTTCTCGCGAACTAAACTTGGCATCTAACTTTAAAACGATTATACTGGGAAGAAACTTAAACTCACACATCCGCGCGCGTAGTCTTTAAGAATATAATATAATATTTTTGTTTTTTGGTTTTGTTTCTCTTATATATATTACATGAAAATACATGAGAATAAACTACGTAAAAAGGAGAGTATTGTGTGTGTGTGTGTTTGTATATAAAACTGAAAAGAAGAAAAAAGAATGCAACTTAAAAAGTAAGGTTAAATTCAAGAGTTGGAAGAAGCAGATGTCGAGAGAGCTTGCGACAAACGTCTTCTTAAAGATAAGTATTTGTTTAAGAAGAAGAAGAAGAAGAAGAAGAAGAAAAAGAAAAAGACGAAAAAGAAGGGCAACAAGCAGAAAGAGACGTGTCATTTTTCAACGTCGTCCTTCTCATCGCCGTTGTCGTCGTAGTTGTACACAAACGTAGAAAAAGGATAGCTTATTTCTAGTACGCGAAAGGAAAAGTTCGCGTAACAACAACGAGAAAGCCCACGGGAAAGGTGATATGGTGTGTGAGCCCTTCTCACGAGAGGGCACGTAATCCTCAACGGAATTACTCGCGTTTGGTATTACCAACCTGCTCTGGGTCTCCAATTTTCGTCACCGTGCGGCGAACGTTCGCTATTTTTTTTTTACGCGGAAAAACTATATTCACCGAAAATATTATTCTTTTTCTTTTTTTCTTTTTTTTTTTTTTTTACACCGTCGAAATATAAAGCTTGGATGTCGATTTGAACGTTACGAAATCCATACGCAATGTGTGTGTGTTTGTATGTATGTATGTGTGTATCTGTCTATTTCGTATGGCTACGTAGAGATATTAAATTCGTTTATACCTATATATTTACGCATACACACGTTAGTACGTGTGCGAGATAGAGACAAGTAGACAGAAATGGAAGAAGGTTGGGAATATTTCGCTAGCTCTTATGAAATCGTGATGGACCGCGAGATGGAATTTCAAATTCCCACTCTCGTTTTTGACGACTCGATTAAGCCGTCCACCAACCAAGAAGACGTAATTCTTTCTCTTCCAACCTCGTTTCCTCTCTCTCTCTCTCTCTCGTTACGTCCCCGCTGTATGATTCATTAAAACGTAGCTGCTTTAACGACGAGGAAATATTCTACAGATTTTAATCTCTACCACTCTTTTAAGATACGTTCACGTACGCGGATACCTGACTTGGCATATTATATTGTTGTTACTTAAAAAAAAAAAAAAGAGGGGGGGAGATTAATTATAAAAATGATAAGAGTTAATACGTATTATTAAATTTATCTAAATATTATCATTCGGATATAATAAAATGTAATCGCGACGATTCGATACCGCGTAAACGAGTACGAAGAATCATCGTTGTTTCAACATCGTCTATTTTAGATTGTTGTAAGTAGTAAAACAAAACAGCCGTTTGGTATTTTGGTTCGTAGCGATAGCAGGTAGGTATAATATCCTATTAGCTATTCCACCGTTGTCGCACTTAAATACGATAGTAACGAATTCCTCGAGAAAACGAGCACTTTGCTTACCTAGCCGTTTATTAAGCTAATTACGGATTCATGACAGTGCTTAAGATTATAGAATAGTTAAGGAATAAATTTATAGAGAAAACGGCTGTGCTCTCTTGTGCCACGTAAAATTAACGATCTCGGTATTCTCGCGGCCACGGGGAAGATTAAATCGATTATAAAAAGAAAGCCGGTGTTAATAAAATGTATATCCAGGCCATAAATCCAACACTTTTTTTCTCGCGATTAAAAACCGCGAGAAGAATTCGATACCAAAACGAAAAAGTTCGGACTCTATTTTCATAAGAACGTAAGAATCATTTTAATCGTCATTACGATTTTCAAATAAGAACAGAAATACTAATAATAATAATAATAATAATGATAATGTGATAAAAAGAAAATATTAACGCATTACTTACCGGTAGAAAATGAATTGGTCGATCAGTAGAAAACTGAAATAAACGAAAAGCCTATATTTAGAACACTGATTTACAAGAGTTTAAATAATTAGTAGTCTATTAGTTGATTCAAAATTTTCTTATGCTCATGCGATTAAATAAAAATAAATACGAAAATAAATTCCATAATATATATCTCTCTCTCTCTAATTTTAGGACAATTGCTAAATATGTTAGGGTTAATGCGATTCGTTTAATGGAATGACAAAAATACAAAGAGACTTTTTTATTTTTTTTTCTTCTTCTCACATACGACACGCACGAGCGGCATTTATAATCTGAATAAAGACGTATAAAGGCACACTAATAATTTGCCACGAATTTATCCACGTAGGGTGGAGCAACGGGACGGGACGGAGAGTTTAGGGCTCGAGTGGGAATTCTCTTTTTACAGCTTTCTCTACGTCATGCTATTTCTCTTGTAAGGCCTTGGGAGAATAATCGAGTCGACTCGTCGACACACCGAAAGGCAACATCTGCCATAAGCTTGGTAAGGTAACAAAAGCAGCCGTTTCGTAGGCGCGTGCCTCGTTCGGAGTTGGGCCGCGAAAACCTTTGCCCACAGCTGTTTTACGGGCGTCTGCTACTATATCATCACACATATATATCCATGTAACACATACGCACACATATCTACACATGTGTCTACATATATATATATATATATATATATATATACTAACACACAAGTAGGTCGCGTAGGCGAGGAAGCACAGCTGTGTGAGCAAAAGCAAGAGAGAGAGAGAGAGAGAGAGGTGATAAGTTTAATCGAACGAATCGATAAATCGATCGATTGGAACGCTCGTAAGTAGAAACACCGTTCCTTACAACGTCGTCATTGTCCTTTGAGGGAGCGAGAAAGATAGATGGATCTTAATAAAGGAAAGAGGAGAAAGAGAGAGAGAGAGAGAGAGAGAAGAACATAGTAGGACAGACTCGCACATTATCGCTTCTCGTCTGTCAGACATCCTCGGACAAACGACTTCCTCTTTCAGTCTTATGGCTTAAAACGTGTTGTTACTTCCTTAGACCTGATGGTAGTTGGTCAGGACGACAATGAGAAAGAGTAGTACACACCTTATACTTTGCCCCATTGAATAATAAATGCATAGCATTATTTAACTCGATAGTTTTTCTCCTTAATTAGTTCGCTTGAAATCATTCGAAAAGTTTCTTTAAACACACTTGTTAAAATGATTACGTGTAACTATGGTGTGTGTGTGTGTATATCCTGTGTGTATGTGTGTGATTAGGATCGTTAAAGGAATATGTAATTTATGATCGGATATCACGTTGTTAATAGTCTTTCTTTCTTTTGCTTTATTTCTTTCTTATTCCATTATCTTTTATATCTTTTTTATTTCGCTTTACAAGAAAACTTCCACGAGGGTGATTTTGCGGCGAGAGAGAGAGAGAGAAAGAGAGAGAGAAAATCACGGGGGTGCGAAAGTTTGGTTGCAAGAGTGCAACAGCAACCCTGCCGTGCCGTACCGTGGTATCCTTTGCTCGAGATCGTTGGCAAGTAGTACTTTTTTCATTATGCTGTGAGAATAGGGTCAAACCGAAGATACCTCAGTATAATGGAACGACATATATATTATATATGTGTGTATGTATGTATATATATATATATATATTGCACGATATAAGCTTCCCTCTTTTTTAACAGTGAAAATTTCTGGACACAGTTTACACCTAACTTCGACAATAAAAGGGTATTACAATTCTACGAAGTTCGCGTTTTTATACGCGTACAATGTACACATAATGTAACGAGAGCATGAGGGCGAGAGAGAGAGAGAGAGAGACAGAGAAAAAGTGAGGAATAAAAGAAAAGAAGTAAAAAGGTTTATCCGAATAAAAAGGTTAAAGTAGGTAGTAAAAAAAAAAGGAAAGGGAATATACTTACGCCAGTGTCGAAAAGTTAATCAAAAGCGGGGTGCATTAAATATAGTAATAATTTTCTAATCTGTTCTTCCCATCGGAGAAAATCATACTTATGGAAAATAGAAAATCATTGTGGAAAGTCGATGTTCTTCTTTAAGGAAAACGAAATCGGTGGAAATGAAGAGAGAGAGAGAGAGAGAGAGAGAGAGAGAGAGGAAAAGAAAGAAAGGGAAGACAAGTTAAAAGTTGCCAACTCGACTATCGTTCGCTCGAGTAATACTTTACGAGGTATAAACCTAAAAATCTCCATACAGATAAAAAGAGAAGAGAGAGAAAAAAAAGAAAAAAGAGAGAGAGATGAAGTTCGATCGAAGAATCGATGATTAGAAAAAAAAAGATAGGCGAACAACGATAAACCGAAAACAAAAGGTAAATTAAAAAGAGACGGAGGAATAAAAAGACAGGGAGAGAGAGAGAGAGAGAGAGAGAAAGGGAGATGCAATTCGATAGATGGGGTTTATACGAAAAGAGAAAGAGAGAGAGAGAGAGAGAGAGAATTACGTTCGCAAATGAAATTCAACAACGTAGAACTTTTTCATAGGCTAGTCAGAACAGGACGATAACGAGATTATCCGCTTTGATCTGCGAGCAAAAGGGTCCCACCGACGCACGCTTTGAGTTCCGCCTCTAAAAGCTCGTGGTGCTAAAAAGTTAAGTTAATCCGAGCTCCTCTTCCTTTCGCTTATACACACTCTCTCTTTCTTTCTCATTTTCTCTCTTTTGAAAACGAGAAAAAAATAATCGAACAAAAAAAAATAAAATAAAATAAAATAAAATAAAAAAAATCGCAAAATCCCTGTCTCATTCGCGCGTAGGTATATCAAATTAACAAAATGTGCCCACAAGCGTGTCCGATTTCTCCATAAAACGATAAAGTGTATTTATTTTAGGACGAAGAAAATAAGTATGTATATAAAATAAGAAAAATAAAAAGAAAAACAAAACAACCGCGTTAAACCATAAAGAAGAGAGAGAGGAAGGAAAAAGGGATCAGAAGAGGTTGCGTGTTAAGTAAGAGGAAGGAATAAGAGGAAGAATAAGAAGAGAAAGAAGGTGTTGAAGGAAGCGAAAATTATTCTCAGGGAATTTAACTCTAGCTACGTCAAAGACGACAACGACGACGACGACGACGACGACGACGACGACGACGATGGTGTAAGAGAAAAAATAAAATAAGAACGGGAAGAAGAAGAAGAAGAAGAAGAAGAAGAAGAAGAAGATGAAGTATAAAAAAAGGAAAATAAAAAACAAGAAAAAAGAAACGAAAGAAGGGGGAGCGAGAGAAACGGTTTCAGGTCTTTTTCCCCTCTCTCCCTTTATTATTCCCTTTTTTTCGTCTTCTTCTTCTTCACTCTCCCTTCTTCTTCGTACACGTTCCCGTCTCTTTCTTTCGGCTCGTTCCACTCTTTTTGTTTTCACGCTAGGCGTTGTCCCGAGGGAGATGCGTTAAAGCCCTGCTGTAATCCGGCCAATGCAATCAAGTAGATGAGACGGGAGCGTAGTCCTCTTTCCTCTCCTCTCCCTCCCACCATCACTTCCATACCCCGTCCACCGATCCAACAATCTCCCTCGGTGCTTCTCGTCTCGTCTCGTCTCGTCTCGTCTCGTTTCGTTTCGTTTCGTCTATACTCCTCTCTTGTTCCTCTTCCTCATTCTATTCCTCCTCCTTCCAGAACACCATCGCCATTTGCCTTCCACGTAGCAAGCAAGCAAGCAAGCCACCACGGTAACGAAGCTTAAGGCACCCTAACAAATCATTCGTTTTACTCGCTAGTCTGGGCATTAATACGTGCCACAGTGTGGTGGCCTCCCCTATGCTTCGAACTTGCCCGAAGGCCCCCATGAACGCTCTTCGACTTTCTTCCTCTCGATGCACCCAGTAGTTCAAACAGTGACTACTAACGGAGAAAGGACCTTCGGATGCTTTGCTTTGCTGCTACTGCTGTGCTGCTGTTGCCTATTACTACTACTACTACTATTACTACTACTACTACTACTGCTATATTATCGAACGTTCACAGAAAGGGTGGATAAAACGAAACGCGGCCGACGATCGCGATTTTCTAGCTCGGATGATGAATTTTTAGGCTCCACTCACTCACTCACTCTCTCTTTCTCTTTCTCTCTCTCTCTCGTTCTTTGTGAAAAGATATGCTTACGTTCACTTTCCCTTCCCTTCTCTGTCTCTGTCTCTTTCTCCTTCCTGTATATAACGTTGAAAGAGCCAACTTGCTGAAAGCCACCGCATTAACCCTTTGCACCCTTTGCACTCGCGTGTCTACCTTTCGACGCGCAGACGGTGTAACTAACTAATTCCAAAGCAACCATCATCAATCGGGCTATTTATTTATGTACGTATATTCCTTTCTTTTATTTCTTTATGTCTTTAATATGTACGTATGATGTGTGCATATATGCATCTATCTATACGTATATACGTATGGTATATACGATGTACGTATGAAACTCGTTCCGATTGTAACTTTTGCATTAGCTGACACAGCAACGAATGAGAAAATCTATGTATGAAGGTATATTTTACTCTTCCCTATCAGAATAAAGTATAGTAAAAGCCGAATTTATAGACAAAGTTAACTATTACCCTTTGATCGTTTCTAAAGTTCCATTCGAAAGAATAAATCCTCTCCTTTCTGTCTGTCCATATTGTTCCATGAAAAATTTAATAACAAATATCAATAAAGAATAGATATACGATATACTCGCTCTCTCTCTCTCTCTCTTTCTCTTTTCCCATTGTTTGTCTTTTTAAATGGAACGATATATAATGCGATCGAGTTTAACTTTCGAATTGTTAAAAACTCGCGTTCGATGTTTGTTCGAATGCATCACACCTCTACCCCCGTCTAGTTTACACGCCGTCAAATCCGCTTGCGAGAATAGAAGAGAAGCTAGGAGAAGCTAGCTAGATCGAACAATTCTGACCGAACCCCCCCCCCCCCCCGCCCCCACTCCCTTTTGCGCGATGAAATCATTTCTATCGGTCTTTTAATTTCTTTTTTTTCCTTTTATTTTATTTTATTTTTTTA